ACTTGCCTCATTTGGATTATATGCCTGAGAGTGGAATTGCTGGGTCTAGTGGTAGATTAATTCCCATTTTCCTGAGGAATCTCCATACTGATTTCCAAAGAGGCTGTATGAGTCGGCACTCCCACCAGCAGTGGAGGAGTGTTCCCCTCTCTCCACATCCTCTCAAGTATGAATTGTCTTCGGTGTTTTTGATTTTAGCCATTCTGACAGGCAGTAAGATGGTATCTCAGAGTTGTTTTGATTTGCATTTCCCTGATGGCTAAGGATGTTGAGCACTTTCTTAAGTGTCTCTTGGCCATTTTAGCCTCCTCTACTGAGAATTCTCTATTTAGCTCTGTACCCCACCTTTTAATTGGATCCTTTGGTGTTTTGGAGACTTGTTTCTTGAGTTCTTTGTAAATTTTGGAGATTAGCCCTCTGTCAGATGTAGGGTTAGTGAATATCTTTTCCCATTCTGTGGCCGGCCTTTTTGTCTTTTTCACGGTGGCCTTTGCCTTACAGAAGCTTTTTAGTTTCAGAAGGTCCCATTTGTTAATTGTTGAATTTGGTGCCTGTGCCACTGGTGTTATGATTAGGAAGTGGTCTCCTGTACCAACTCGTTGAAGAGTATCTCCCACTTTCTCTTCTAAAAGTTTCAGTGTGGCTGGATTTATGTTGAGATCTTTGATCCATTTGGACTTAAGTTTTGTACAAGGCAATAAACATGGATCTATCTGCAGTCTTCTTCATACCAGTACCCAGTTATGCCAGCACCGTTTGTTGAAGATGCTTTCTTTTTTCCATTGTACAGTTTTAGCTTCTTTGTCAAAAATCAAGTGTTCATAGGTGTGTGGGTTAAAATTAGGGCTTTCGATTCGGTTCCATTGGTCTACCTGCCTATTTTTGTGCCAATACCAAGCTGTTTTCAGGACTATAGCTCTATAATGGAGCTTGAAGTCAGGTATGGTGATGCCTCCTGAAGTTCCTTTATTGTATAGGGTTGTTTTGGCTATGCTGGGCCTTTAGTTTTTCCATATAAAGTTGATTAATGTTCTTTCCAGGTCCTTGAAGAATTGTGATGGAATTTTGATAGGGATTGCATTGAATCTGTAGACTGCTTTTGGCAAGATTGCCATTTTTATTATGTTGATCCTACCAATCCAAGAGCATGGGAGATCTTTCCATTTTCTGGTATCTTCTTTGATTTCTTTCTTTAAAGACACAAAGTTCTTGATATACAGGTCTTTCACTTCCTTGGTTAACATTATCCCCAGATATTTGAGGCTGTTTTTGGCTATTGTAAAGGGTGATGTTTCTCTGATTTCTTTCTCAGTCACTTCATCATCTGTATATAATAGGGCCACTGATTTTTTGTGTTTACATTGTATCCTGCCACATTGCTGAAGGTGTTTATCAGCTCTAGGAGTAATCTTGCAGTGTTTTTCGGGTCACTTATGTAAAGTATCATATCATCTGCAAATAGTTAAAGATTTACTTCTTCATTTTCCTATTTGTATCCCCTTTATCTCCTTTTGTTGTCTTATTGCTGTAGCTAGAACTTCAAGTACAATATTGAAGAGATATGGAGAGAGTGGACAGCTTTGTCTTGTTCTTGATTTTAGAGGAATTGCTTTGAGTTTCTCTCCATTTAGTTTGATGTCCGCTGTTGGTTTACTGTATATTGCTTTTATTATATTCAAGTACGTTCCTGTTATCCCTGATCTCTCTAAGACCTTTATCATGAAGGGGTGTTGGATTTTGTCAAAGGATTTTTCAGCATCTAGTGAGATGATTGTGTGGTTTTTCTTTCGCAGTTTGTTAATATGGTGGATTACATTGATAGATTTTCTAATGTTGAACCATCCCTGCATTCCTGGGATGAAGCCTACTTGATCATGGTGGATGATTTTTCTGATGTGTTCTTGAATCCGGTTTGCGATTATTTTAATGAGTATTTTTGCATCGATGTTCATGAGGGAAATTGGTCTATAGTTCTCTTTCTTAGTTGTGTCTTTGTGTGGCTTGGGTATCAAGGTAATTCTAGCCTTATAAAAAGAGTTTGGCAGTGAGCCTCCAGCTTCTATTGTGTGGAATACTTTGAGGAGTATTGGAGTTAACTCTTCTTTGAATTTCTGGTAGAATTCTGCACTGAAGCCTTCTGGGCCTGAGCATTTTTTTTGTTTGGGAGACTTTTGATGACTGCTTCTATTTCATTAAGGGTTATATGTCTATTTAGATTGTTTATCTGCACATGATTTAGTTTTGGCAAGTGATATCTATCCAGGAAATTGTCCATTTCCTTTAAATTTTCAAATTTTGTGGAGTACAGATTTTCAAAGTATGCCCTGATGATTCTCTGGATTTCCTCAGAGTCCGTTGTTATGTCCCCTTTTTCATTTCTGGTTTTGTTAATTAGCATGTTCTCTCTCTGTCTTTTGTTTAGTTTGGACAGAGGTGTGTCTATTTTGTAGATTTTCTCAAAGAACCAACTTTTTTTTTCTTTAAAATATTCTAATTTATTTATTGATTTTCACCATGTACCCACAATTTCTTTTTCCCCAAAGCCTACTAGATCCTCAAACTTCAGTCTGAACTACTCCCTTTCTATTTCCTCTTAAGAAAAGAGCAGACAGCAGGCCAGGCAAGGACAACAGCCAGACAGGACAAAACCAAAGCAAAATACAATAAAACTACATGAAAACCATCTTATTGAGTTTGGACAAGGCAAGCCAAAAGGAGTAAAAGAGGCTCAAGAGCAGGCAAAAGAGTCCTAGATACACCCTTTCTCACTGAGGAGTCTCCCACAACACAATAAAAGCTAACAGCCGTAACATATACAGAGATGACATGGTGCATTGCCATGTGGGCTCCATGACTGCCACTGCAGTCTCTGTGAGGTCATGTGAGCCCTACTTAGTTGATTTGGTGAACCAAGTTCTCCTGGCAGCCTCCATCCCATCTGACATTAAAATACTTGCAAACTAAATCTATGAACACATCAAAACTACCATCCACTGTGATCAAGTGGGCTTAATCATAAAGAAGTAAAGATGATTTGACATACATTAAAAGCAATAAATATAATCCACCTGACGAGCAGACTAAAGACAAAAATTGCATGATCATCTCATTAGATATAGCAAAAGGCCTTTGATAAAATGATAAACCACTTCATAATTTTTATCCTGATGAGAGTAGGTATACAAGCTCACAGATAGCATGAACCTAAATGGAGAGAAACTCAAGGCTATTGCATTAAATTAAGGAAAATGTTAAGGTTGCTCATTCTGTCCATACCTATTCAAAGAACCAACTCTTTGCTTTATTGATTCTTCTCAATGTTCTCCTGGTTTCTACTTGATTAATTTTAGCCCTCAATTTGATTATTTCCTGGAGTCTGCTCCTCCTGGGTGAGTTTGCTTCTTTTTGTTCTAGAACGTTCAGCTGTGCTATTAATTCTCTAGTGTGACTGTTCTCCAGTTTCTTCATGTGGGCACTTAGTGCTATGAACTTTCCTCTTAGCACTGCTTTCAAAGTGTCCCATAGGTTTGCGTATGTTGTGTCTCCATACTCATTGAATTCCAGGAAGAATTTAATTTCATTTTTTTTCTTTCTTCCTTTACCCAGAGATGGTGCAATTGAGCATTGTCCAATTTCCATGAGTTTGTGGGGTTTCTGCGAATTGTGTTACTGTTGAATTCTAGTTTTAAAGCATGGTGGTCTGAGAGGATACAGGGGTTTATTCCAATATTTTTGTATGTGTGGAGATTTGCTATGTTTCCTATTATGTGGTCAATTTTAGAAAAGGTTCCATGTGGCGCTGAGAAGAAGGTATATCCCTTTGTGTTTGGGTGGAATGTTCTATAGATGTCTGTTAAACCCAGTTTGGACATAACTTCTATTAGGTCCTTTGTTTCTTTGTTAATTTTCTGTCTGGCGGTCCTGTCTAGTGGTGAGTGCGGAGTGTTGAAGTCTCCCACTATTAGTGCGGGCGATTTTATGTGCAATTTGAGTTTTAGTAATGTTTCTTTCACAAATGTAGGTGCCTTTGTATTTGGGGCGTAGATGTTTAAAATTGAGACTTCATCTTGATGGACTTTTCCTTTGATGAATATGAAATGTCCTTCTTCATCTCTTTTGATTGATTTTAATTTGAAGTATAGTTTGTTAGATACTAGGATTGCTACAGCTGCTTGTTTCTTGGGTCCGTTTGATTGGAAAATCTTTTTCCAACCCTTTACCCTAAGATACCATCTGTCTTTGATATTGAGATGTGTTTCTTGTATGCATCAGAAGGATGGGATCTGCCTTTGTATCCATTCTGCTAGTCTGTGTCTTTTTATAGGCAAGTTGAGGCCATTGACATTGAGGGATATCAATAACCATTGATTGATGATTCTTGTTTGTGCTTGATTTAATGGTGGTGAAGTTATTTTGTGTAGTTTCTCCTCCCTTTTTCTTTTGGTGTTATGTCAAGTGGGATTATATATTGCCTGTGTCTTTGTGAGTGTAGTTATATTCCTTGGATCTAAGTTTTCCTTCTAGCACTTTCTGTAGAGCTGGATTCATGGACACATAATGTTTAACTCTGGCTTTGTCATGGAATATTTTGTTTTCTCCATCTATGGTAATTGAAAGCTTTGCTGGATATAGTAGTCTGGGCTGGCATCCTTGTTCCCTTAGCGTTTGTAGGACATCTGTCCAGGATCTTCTGGCTTTCATCGTTTTGATTGAGAAGCCAGGTGTAATTCCGATAGGTCTGCCTTTATATGTTACTGTAAGACCTCGGCATCAAAGCGCCGGGCACCGGACCGAATCCTCTGCCCAAGGATGGGGCCAGACCACTGGATGCAAATGCAAGAGGCGATTTATTGGGTACACAGGCGCCTGCGGATGCTACTGCAACTTGGGTGCAGAGCATACCGGGCTTGTAGGGAGTACACTATTTATGGAATTTTAATGGTTACATAAGTATCAGCATAGCAACAGGTATTTCATTGGCTACTTAAGCATGGGCTGAGATCATCTGCGGGGGGCAGGGGTAGTTGCCAAGGACTAGGTTTCCTAGTATTGTCATATGAATGTTCCCAGCACGCTTCAGCAATTAGTATCCGGGTCTCATGATTACTATAGTGATTAGAGACATCCTGTTTTGAGGGTGAGACACCTGTCTGGGTTTTTCCACTAGGCAATGGCTTGGCTTTGTTTTTATTATTCCTAGGGGGGCCCTGGGTAGGGGTCTTTCATTCCCCCCTTGTTCTTGTGCATAGGTAGAATCTTTTACCTATTGTCCAGCCCTCTTTACTTAAGGTTTCCTTATGGTTCCGTCTGTTTGAGGGCATGGTATTGTTGAGTTAAGACTAAGGCTTGAATTATTGTTAATTTATCTTTTATAAATTGAACTAGTTTGTTGAGAATGCAGGGCCCAAAGGTTAACATAAATATGAAAATAATTAGGGGGCCCATAAGAGTAGAGACTAATGTAGCGAACCAGGGGGATTTGTTAAACCAATCCTCATACCAGTATTGTTGAGATTCAGAATTCTTTCGACGGACAGTCAGCCTCTCCTTGAGTTTATCCAAAGTTTCAGTTACTACCCCAGTTTTGTCTGCGTAGAAACAACATTCTTCTTTGAGGGCGGCACATAAGCCTCCTTGTTTAAGAAATAGGAGGTCTAGTCCTCTCCTATTCTGTAGGACCAATTCAGATAATGAAACCAAAGAGTCCTTGAGGGCTCTAACTGATTTTTCTAAGGCCTGTAGATCCTCATTCATGGCTGCCTGGAGCTGTGTATTTTGATTGCTCCGAAGTAAGGCAGTGGTCCCGGTCCCTATACCAGCCGCTATTCCCCCCACTCCCAGGAGAAGAGCTAATGTTATTGAAACAGGTTCCCTTCTGAATCGATAACGATTCTCAAAGTATCCTAGTACAGTCTCTGAGGAGTGGTAGGTAATGTGGGGCCATAGCTGGACAAGTACACAATAATCAGCTGTGATGGTAAGAACCAATACTGAGACGCAAGGAGTTAGTCCTGTATTGCAGGCCCAATAAGTCCCGTTAGGGCTGGTCAGGTATGAGTTGCTGGGAGTTACTGGGACTGTACGGTTACATAGTTTTTGAGACGATCTGGGAACATTTCCAAGACATAGTCCTCGCCCAGTCACCTGGGGCAGAGTTAGTTTATGATTAAGTGTTTCGCTGCATCGGGAAGGGGGAGATGTATAGCTGATAAGGTCAGAGTCCAATGCCAAGCCCTCATAATAAGGGGAGCCGCTGTCAAGCAGAGCCAACAATCCTCCGCCTTATCAGGATGGGTTTCGTTTAACGCTTGGTGGGCTCCTCTGATTAAGTTCAATAGTCTACTGGCAGAACTGAACTTTGGTCTAGGGGGTAGAGTGGCATTACTATGTCCGGTAGCATGGGTAGGTAGGGTGGTGACAGATGGCAAGGGGTTTGGCTTGGGTCTAGGGAGGTTCTGGGATGGCCTATCCGGTTGGTCGAGTAGCACAGAGTTTGGCCCAATAGAGGCCATAGCTGTGGGGGAAATGGTTCTGGAGATTAGGAAGGTGGCTGCGGGATCCATTCCAGTACGATACAGCCGTAGCCCCCAGGCCTTGGGGGCATCCCATGCTGACCGTTTAGCAGCCTCAGTAAAAGTGGTAATTAGGGGGTTGCATCTTCCTCCAGGGGTGCTGCCCTGGAGTTTGGAACTTGAATCATGGCATGGTCCACAATCCTGCCCCCCACAAGTCCAGGGGCCATCTCCATTATACCCCGGGATAGTTCCTCGTTGGAGGGTGATTAAGTCCCAGGAAGAAGTGGGTTTCCAATAGGTGGTCCCGGTGGTCTCACATCCCCATTCAGCACAATACCCATCTCCCGGTCCACCACATCTATGTTGGAGCTCTTTATCACGGTTATGTCCTGGGCAAACATATATGTCAAGTTTGCGTGTGGATATGCGCTGGCCCGTGTGTTGACAGCCATAGCCGGGGAAGAGTGCTTGTTCTGAGTGATCCCATCGCTTACCCACTAGGTCGCAAAGATCTACATGCAAAGGGGGAAAGGTTGCATTTATAACACCCGGCATCGTAGTGGAGTTAGCGACTGCCCCGGTGTCCTGATTGATAATCTTCCAAGTTATTTTATATATGGCATGGGGGCTCTCTAGTGTATCACCAGCTAGCAGTAATAAAATCAAGCATATTATTGGCGTATTAATCTTATCTTTAAAGGGTTTTGAGAGCGTTGGAGCCTCCATGACTCTGGATTTCTTTGGGCTGGCGTATCGGTGCAGTGCTCTGGTCGGGCGGCCTTGACGTGTGAGGCGTGGATCCAGGCAGCGATGCCGTCTACCTTCAAAGCAGTGGGGGTAGTCAGAAGTACAGTATAGGGTCCTTTCCAGCGAGGTTCTAGGTTCTTGATCTGGTGTCTCTGGACGCAGACGGTGTCACCGATTTTAAAGGGATGAGGTACGGAGAGAGATTCTATCCCTTTCTGGTAGGCCGCTGCTATTGGCTTCCAGACCTCCTGTTGCACCAATTGCAGGGCCTGCAGATGGGCCTGCATGGAAGGGGAAGTGGCAAAATCAGAAATATCAGTATCAAAGAAGGTGATGGCAGGGGGTGGAGCCCCATATAAAATTTCAAATGGGGTCAAACCATGTGGGCCAGGTGTGTTTCTGGCCCGGTATAAGGCTAGAGGCAGGAGTTGTACCCAGTCTTTAGAGCCAGTTTCAAGTGATAATTTGGTTAAAACTTCCTTAATTGTTCTATTCATTCTTTCTACCTGTCCTGAACTTTGGGGTCTGTAAGCACAATGTAATTTCCAATCAATTCCCAAGAGCTTAGCCACCAACTGACTCACCTGGGAGACAAAGGCAGGCCCGTTATCTGACCCTAATACCTGTGGCATCCCGTATCTGGGGAAGATTTCTTCCAGAAGCTTCTTGGTGACCATTTTCGCGGTTTCGTGTTTGGTGGAGAAGGCCTCCACCCATCCGGAGAAAGTATCTACAAAGACTAGTAGGTATCTGTAACCATACATCCCAGGCTTGATCTCCGTAAAATCTACCTCCCAATGATTCCCAGGGCGATGACCTCGGAGGCGCTTTCCTTGACCAATTTTGGTATTCCCTGAATTGACCTGCGCACAAACCCTGCAATTTTCAGTTACTTGTTGCAGCAGCATGTCTCTCTGTGGCAGGTGTAAGCTCATGGTTCCCTGCTCTAATAGGGTTTTCATCTTTTGCTTGCTCAAATCGGTTAACTTATGAAGGTGCTCAATTAACTCTTTAGCTGCCTAAAGGGACTGGTAGTGAGTTAGTCGAGCGTTGGACAGCCAGCGGTCGGGAGGCTGGCAGACCAGAGACTCAATGGCATGCGGTGCCACGATAGTTAATGGCTGTCCCAAGGTTAATTTAGAGGCATCTTTGGTGAAAACAGCAATAGCAGCTACCATCCTTAGGCATGGAGGCCACCCTGCTGCAACTGGGTCCAGCTTTTTTGATAAGTATGCAATAGGGCGCCTCCAGGGTCCGAGTCTTTGTGTTAAAACTCCTTTAGCAAAGCTCTGCCTCTCATCCGCATAGAGTTCAAAGGGCTTAGTTATGTCAGGCAGGCCCAGGGCCAGGGAGGAAAGCAAAGCTTGTTTAATGTCATCAAAGGCCTGTTGGTGTTCCTCCGCCCAAACGAAGGGGGTGTCTGATTTAGTTAGCTTGTAAAGGGGTGCTGCCATTTCAGCGAACCCCAGAATCCATAGCCGGCAAAACCCGGCTGTCCCCAGAAACTCCCGCAATTGGCGGGAGCTTTGGGGGGTTGGGATGCGGGATATGGTCTCCTTGTATGCGGTGGTTAGCCATCTCTGACCGTTTTGAAGTTCATACCCCAAATAAGTGACTTTTTCCCGACAGATCTGGGCTTCCTTTGCAGAAGCCCGGTATCCCAACTGCCCCAGGGTCAATAGGAGGGCCTCGGTAGCTGCATGACAGTTCTCCTCGTTGGTGGCAGCCAACAGAATATCGTCCACATATTGGAGCAGGATCAATGACGGATGTCTGATGCGAAAATCTGCCAAGTCGTGGTGGAGGGCCTCATCGAAGAGGGTGGGGCTATTTTTGAACCCTTGTGGCAATCGGGTCCTGTAGGAGTGAACCCCACAAAGCTACCCGCCCAACAGGGCAGGGTCAAGGTAGAGATAAAAGGTAGTGAAAGGAAAAGGGGCCTCCCTCTTTTTCTCCTGGAAGCCAGCCACGCTTCTAACTCCTGGTATGTGCGACTCTCTCTCTCCCTGATAAATAAATATATTGTTTTTCCCTATATAGCCTCGATTACCGCGATACCTGGTGGCAGATGTGGTTTGGAATTACAGCCCACGCCTGGGAAACCGCCTGAATTCGGCATCCCGAGGTGAGTGCTAGTTCGCTCCAGCCGCGGTGGGTACATCGCCCGCGGCCCCGCTGCCCGCCCCAGTCGGCCGCTGCGCGTACATGCAGCTGGACCGCGAATAGAGCAATTGGCCTCTCCACGCAGAGCTGTTTTCCCTTCCCCACAAACCCTGCTGCCCCGCCGGCCGCTGCCGCCCAGCACCCCCACGCTTGCTGTCCACAGCTGCCGCGTGCTGTTCGACCGTTCGCGGACACCGCAGCAGTCTATCGCGGACACCGCAGCAGTCTATCGCTGCGTGTACCCTGCACGGACACAGTCAGCCGCTGCGCGTGATCATTGGGCGTCCCCCGCCACCACCGCCGCCGCCGCCGCCGCCGCCGCCGCCGCCCGTGCGCCGCCGCGCGCTGCCGCCACCGCTCTGCGCCCGGAGCTGCCCCCTCCCCCCGCGATCGTTCTGCGCTCCTGCCGCCCGCTAAGCGCGCAGAACCGGGGACTCAGACCCCTTTGCCGCCCGCCCGCCAACGCCACACGTGCTGCTCACAGCCCACTGCTGCAACTCCCAGTTGCTGACCGCCCGCGCGTTCCAGCCGCCAGCATACCGGCCATCGGTTGCCCGCTCCCTCCCCCCGCTGCCGCCCGCCAAGCAGAACCGGGGACTTTCGTACCAGAGCCTTTGCAAGCTCCACTGCTGTGCGGTGAATCTGCCTTCCCAAATCTGCCCATTAAGCTTTCACAGGTTCCTTGGGAGCATCCGATTTTCCGCGGAGAGGTAGCGTTTAGCAGTACACCTCCGCCATCTGCTGGCCAAGCACGGTAACTACAGGTATTTTAATTTGAGATAATAAAGGAGGTGAATTTTTCCAATTTAGGAATCACCGATTGATGGTAAGAACATCTAATTATAACATGGCAGGTAATTTAACACTGCAGGATTTTGGAGATTTCATTACCAATGTGATGGATTATGTGGTAAAAGACAATTATGATATTTTTCTTACGTATATGTGTGCCATGCTTGTGATTAGTGTATTAATACATATAATCACTTGGAAGAAACATGAGCTTATGTTTCAAAAATTAGAGTCAAAAATTCAGGAACAAGTGGATTTGGCTACATTTAATTCAATGTCCGCTAAGACTGACTCTAACCAGGTGGAACTTTCCAATTTAGCAGAGTCAATTAAAAAGTTAGAGTTAAAAATTCAGGAACAAGGGGACTTGGTTAAATTTGACCAGGACAACCTTCGAGACACATTCAATTCGATGTCCACTACATTTATGGCTAAAATGGAATATAACCAGGAGGAATTTTCAAAATTAGCAGGGTCGATTCAATCTATGTCTGATAATAATGGCAATCTAGCGGATCGAATGTGTTTTCTGGAAGGAAAAATAGATGCCTTTGGAGTTTTTAGGGAGGATGGTATGAAAAGCTTGGAATTTCGTTTAACTGAACAATCCAAAGAGTTAAAACAATCTTTAATGCAGAAAATCCAAGACCTTAATGAACAATCTGAGGACTTGGGACAATTTTTAATGGAGGAAATAGAAGACCTCAATGAACAGTCCAAGGAATTGGAACAATTTTTAATGCAGGAAATACGAGACTTAAAGGATGACATGGTTGCAAAATTTCAATCTTTAGAAGATACATCCTCTGAAATATCAGAAGTGGAGTCAATGGATGCTAGGCCACTAGGAAATAAACGAAATATGGCTACTAGACATCCTAAGGTGGCCTTTCCAGTAACTGTAGTAGAAAGGTCATCATCACGGAGGCACCAATCTGGTTCCACTACACAGAAATGGGAACCTATTCCCATAAAAGATATGAAAACAATTAAAAATGCGATCATGACTTTTGGGGTCCACAGTACTTATGTAAAACAGTTACTAAACACATGGGCAACTACTAATAAGATAACTCCCTCAGATTGGAATGATTTAATATCTGCAGTGTTGGACCAGTCTACACAAATACAGTGGAAAGCTTTGTGGAGACAGGAAGCCAAGGCCCTTGAACTTCAAGGTTTGAAGGATGGCTTTGATGCTTCTGAAAGTAAGATTATGGGAGAGAAGCAATTTTCTGACCCGCAGGTCCAAGCTGGTTATGATGAGCGTACATTTGATTTATGCAAAACAGCAGCACTAAATGCTTTGGATAAGGTTCGTGAACCAGGGGAAAGAGTTGAAGCATACTCGAAAGTGATACAGGGTCCGAGAGAAAGATTCTCTGAATTCTTACAAAGATTATCCAGAGCAGTAGATTTACAAATAACTGATCCTAATATTAGGCGACTTCTTACAGAATCGTTGGCTTACGAGAATGCAAATCCACATTACAAACAGATACTGTGGCCATTAAAGTTATAGACTTAAAAGATTGTTTCTTCACCATACCGTTACAAGAAAACGACAGAGAAAAGTTCGCCTTCACGGTACCTACCTATAATAATTCCCGTCCGGTACAGAGATTCCACTGGAAGGTACTACCTCAAGGTATGTTAAACAGTCCAACTTTGTGTCAATATTTTGTGAATAAACCTCTAGAAATAATTCGTAAAAAATTTCCACATTCGTTAATATATCATTATATGGATGACATATTATTGTCTGATTCAAATAAGGATACATTGGAAAAGATGTTTGAAGCAGTAAAAGAAACTTTGCCTCGCTGGGGATTACAAATTTCCCCAGAAAAAATACAAAGAGGAGATTCTATTAACTATTTAGGTTATAAAATAGATGCTCAGAAAATTAGACCACAGAAAGTACAGATTAGAAGAGATCGTTACCGGACTCTTAATGATCTTCAAAAACTATTAGGTGAAATCTCTCAATTACAGACAATTATCGGTGTAGAAGGGCATGATTTGAAACATTTGAAAATGGCTTTAAAAGGAGATAAAGATCTAAACAGCCCACGAGTACTATCAGCTGAG